TGTTTTCGAAAATAATAATGTACTCGATTCATGATATTAGACGGTCGAGCCCGCATCTCCCAAGAAAGTTACCCACGGCATCAAGACACAGAGAGTCATACCCATTATAGGCCTCCGAAGAGAACTTGAGAATCCTTTTCTCAATCATCTTTTTAAATAAGAAAATAGTTTTACTTTCAAAGAATGCGAAACTCTATCGATCCTATATGCCCATCATAAGTCTACCCACAAATTTTATTTCTCAATTTTAATCTTTCTTAGACTCGGAAATCTGATACCACAACTTTGCAACACCCCCAAATCTCCCTCTACGTAAATACTATATTTATACGTATACAGTTACCGTAGAGATAGATTTGGGCGTATTACTGCCACATGAAAACGTAAAGCTTATTTAACTACTCAAAATGGCAGCGGAAATTAACTGACTTTTATTAATAATAACGAGAATAATTGTAATAATTGTTCCAAAATACTCCAATGAAAACATGTCTATTTCATAAATAAATTAACTCCTAACTAGGTGATCCCAATCCCAACTCAAGCATGCGCACGATTAACTCCACACCTGAAATTATATCTGCTTATCAATAATGGTAAAGAGGGTGAACCAAAACAAAAAGGAATACGGGTTAGCAAAACGCTAAGTGCATATAAGTGCAAGGCATGTAAATACTTTTATCAGGCAAACATGCTTTTGAGATAATAATTTCAATTTAAACATGCCAAATTATGACTTTCTCGAAATACATCACTTTTCAAAATTAGACTTCCCAAATTTAGAATTTCCAAAATTAAACCTTCCAAAAATAGTAATGTCCATCAATAGAAACTTTCTGAACCAATAGATTTCCAATTTATAAACTTACCAATTTAAGACATATTTTCAAAACCAATTTTCCCCACCTAAGTGTGCACACCCCCAAGCAAGTCAAACTATACTCGAGGAAAGACCAGATCATATAAAGTTCATGGTCCTAGTTAACCAATCCGGGTAGAGGTACAATAAAAATTAAATATTCAGGCCCATAATGAGCTACAAATTTTTAAATTAATTCCTTTAATTCAATAACTTGTAATCAAGTGATTTATAAACAACTTTTATTAATTAACACTTTTAAACATCAAACCTTTAAATTGTAGGATTATATTTTAACTCATCATGAAAATCAGTATTTCAAATTTTACATACGTAACATCTATTCAAACAAACATTCACCAAAACATGCATTCAAAACTTGTATCAAGGATTTAGCCACTTATACGTACCTTGGTAACAAGAAAATTAAGGTACGACTACACTTGACCACGATCGAGGGACTCCTCCTACACAATTAAAATAACCTTAATTGATATAAGGTTAACAAAATAAACACAAAACTATAAATAATACTCTACTTGTGCATGAACTACCAAAATATTAACTTATAAAATCAAACCTTTATAATGAGTTTATAGTAGTATTATCATAATAGTATTAGTGTAAAACATTATAGTTTACTTTAGAGTAATAATTTGTACTAATACCATGATAATAGTATTATTAGTTAAAAGTAATAATGATGGAAAGGAAATCACATTAGTACGTATCGTTATGGGTAGTATAAAACAAAAGTGTTAAGTTTGTGGTAAGTAAGGTAAGAGGACAGGGGGGAAGCGTAGCACCTTGCGGGCAGCAATGTTTGATGATGCAGGTAGGTGGTCGAGTGCTAGCTGTGGTTGCACGGAAGGGGGTGATAGGCGACGTAGATGGGCATCAATAAGGTGGCAGCGGCTAGTTAGTGGTGGTCGATTTGCGGTGTTTGTTTAAGCAAACAAGAAAGAAAGAGAGGGAGAAGAAGTCTATTTATAGTGTTGAAGGTATGATATGGTTACTAGAAAATATGATAAGTTTTGGGGTTTGTTAAAGTATTTGAATCAAATTAAGTCTAGGTTGGTAGTTGGGTATAAAAGATGAGTAGAAATATTAGATAGAAGTTTATTTGATTAAAGGATTGGAAGGAGGAAGATATGAATGAAAATAAGATAATAAAGAAGGTGTAATGGTTAAGTTAAAATAAGATAAAAATCACAAATTAATAATAATTTTTTTTTCATTTTTTTAATAAATAATTAATACAAAAATTATAATTTAATTAAGATGTAATAATTTTTTGCTCTTTGACTATTGATTTTCTCAAATTTTCTATTTCTCTCACATTTTAACCTGAAGCGGCCTAGGCGCAGTGCCTTGCACTTGGCAAAGGTGGTATGAGGCGCAACAAGGTGCGCGCTTTCTGTAGGTGCTTGCACCTGCAACGGTTAAAGCTCACTTTGTGACAGCATTGCTACCTTCCCTCTCATCACTTGTCCCAAACAATGGGAGCAACTTTGACTTGGGCGGTTTCTTATGAACCTTTGATTGCGGGAGACATCATTCCCGATGTAGAGGCCCCACCACTCGAACCCAGGAGAGCTACCACATCCGCCATACCCGATCACATGGTATGTTCTTCCTCTTCCTCCTCTCCTTTCGACTTTAAGGCCGTTTTTCGTAACATGAGCCTTATGCATTCTCAACAACTTGAATATCAAAGATATTAAGCACAACAATCTTACCAACACTAAGTTGAGAGGGTGACTTTCCCCTACCCCGACCGACCAATCCAAGATGGTCTGGTGTCGGGTTGACAGAACAACCAACCAACTTATCTGTATTAGCAAGGACCTCGTAGCTTAACTAGTTAGCTCCAATCTTTCCCACCTTATGACTACACCCAACCCGAAGGTAGCGATTATAAGGGCAACCCTAGCTATTTTCAATACCCGGCTAGTTGTAGGAGATCATCTTCCTTACCTCCTCTTTGTCCGGAGTCGCATGACAATTTATATAAGTGATAGGCCGTCGTCGAGCTTACCAAAGATAATAAACCTATCTTGGTCTCACTAAACTAATCGCAAGGGTAAGAAAAGGTCGACCCCAAGAAAGGCATTGGATCATCCACCGATATGTTATCGTTTGAATAAGCTAAATCAAGTCAAGTTTGGTTTAAGTTTTTTTATTAACTTTTACTAGTTCAAATCAACTAAAGGCTAAGAGGAGATTAACAATATTAAGAGAAGTCTAAGACTCGGGCTACACCACTCAACTTCATCACAAACCGCAATTAGCATGCATAATAAGGTAAATTAGGGAATAAATTGTAGGAAGTCATCTATGGCACCCAACTACTCTCTCAAGCTAGAGGGATTACTTGAGCAAAGGTCATAACCTACTCTCGTGCTTACAAGCATGAAACAAGTGTTAAAACGTTAGCACAATGACAAGAACATTCCCTTGACAAGAAATTCCTATTCTCATGTCATTTTAAGTCAATTAAACGTAAGGGAGCTAACTTTACTTCATCCCTCAATCTTTCATTGAGAAAGCTTGGATAAATAGTTCTAGCAATGGTCATATCCCACGGTCGCCCAAATCGAGGCTGCACTTAAGCTCTCAATGCACCACGGTTGCAAGGCCTTTGAGCATGATCACCCTTCACCCAGCAAGTGGCTTTCTGACATCCAACACCCCCACACCCGGGGCCAAGCTCCGTCCGGTTCACAACTGACTCCTACGCCAAAAGTTTGGCGTGTCTGCCTGCTCCCGGCGCTAGCGCCAAGATACCAACGCGAATGCTCGGCACACGTCGTCTAGTGCCAGGGTCTTGTTCGCCAGCATGCCCAATGCTAGGATGGTGCGCCACACTCGCTCACAAGGCCTAGCACCCGCACGTGTCAGCACTAAACGACAAGGCCATGCGGCTCCTCGCGTCAAGCCGCATTCGCCTGGTAGCAAAGGCTAAGGCTCGCGCGAGCATACTTGGTTGCCCCGGCTAGAAATGCCTGGCTTAGCTATGTTTGCTTGAAGTGCTCACCAAGGGTTGGGGCTACGTGCGCGCGGATTTGATCAGCCCGCACCCCCTGATCGCCAAGGCAGTGTCTAGGATGCGCACCCAGCACCCAAACCAGCACGCCGCACTCCTTTATTCACCCAGCGCTAGCCGCTAGGCCAAGCTGTGAGGTGTCGTATGCGCACGCCAAGCCCAGGCATGCCGGGTTCGCCCTACCACCTGGTTTGGCCACTCCGTCTGCCTTAATCTAGACTATCTAGTAACTTAGTAACGGAAGAGGTTCAATGGCAGAAGGTAAGTGTAGTCATTAGTATTTATTGACAAACTACTTAAATAGGAGATATTGCTCCATTGATATGCTCAGCACCAGTGTGTCTTGAATTGATTCCAGAATATAGAGAAATTTCTTGAGCTGAACTGCTGAAGGGATTTGTTTACTCTCCATTGTTAAACAACTTAGAAGAGAAGATTGTTCACCAGTCAGTCAGTCGCCTCAAATTTGACCTATGTTTCCTTGCTTGTGTCAGCACTATGGGTACTAAAATACATGTTTTATTTGTTTTCCCTGAGATTTTGTTTCCTGGATTTGAGAAACTGCCTCGTTTATTAAAAGAAGCAGCATTAGGTTTCTGTACTTTTTTCTTTCTCCCTTAATTCTGGACAGAGCGCAAATGTATGACAGCAAGGTATCCCAAACTTTCACCTGGACCCCATACAAGAGAAAATACTAATAAAGAACTTGGGAAGAGGAGGGTGGGTACAAAATACAAGAGAAAATACTAATAAAGAACTTGGGAAGAGAAGGGTGGGTACAATTATAACTCTTTTAAGCAAAATAAACCATTTTACTGGTATGATGTTCATTTATTTGACATGATGAATGCTTCCCTGTTGCATAAATTGTCAAATGTCAAGTGTAATCCAGTGCAGGTTGGAATTTCGAGCAGAACTTATTTTTGCTATGGAACTGGCTTGAGTATTATAATATCATTTACTCTGTATTTGTGCCAACATTGTTAAATAATATTTTCTACTACGTATTAATAATTTAATCATTAGGGATTCTAGGCCTATCCATTCCCAGTATTAAAAAAAAGTTCTGAAATGCTTATATTGATGTTACTGCAGGTGAAGAGCTTCGGATATGTTATATTGATGCTAGTTTAGATCATAATGCTCGCCAAGATATTCTTCTAGGAGGATTCGGTTTCAAGTGCTCGTGTCCTCGCTGTTTATCCGGTGACTAGTGATCCATAACTACTTTATTATGCTTGTGAGGAAATCCCATGATTTCATCATCTTTTCTTGCCATTGAATGCATATCGTTACATATTAAGGAGGATTTAGGAAGTAGGAACTGCATGCAGTTTTGCAAAAAATAGGTGGAAAGATTCGTCGTCATTGGGAAGATTTGAAAAAAGCACAAGACAACAATCGTGGACTACTGAAGTACTGAACAACAATATTAGCTAACTCCTAGCAATTTCTATCAAATGTGTGTTTGGGTGTTTAAATAGGAATATCCTCAAAATTAAACAATTTAAGTGAAACCCCAGTAAAGGGAATATCTTCGAAAAATTAAAAATTACTATTGCTGTTTTTTTTTATTAGAAATTGTGCAATCAACAGTATGCTAATGTGGAAATATAGGCATTAACTCAGAACTAACAAAGAAGAATAACAAAGGACACAAGAAAAATTTATATGGATATTCTTCGTCAGAGATAAATAAAAGCCAAAAACTCTGCACTAAAACTATAATCAATGTAAGAGATGATGGTATAGGTAAAAACCAAAAACTTAGCACTAAAACAGGAATCTTCTCCTCATTGGTTCTTTAACCTCTCTAATAAGAGAATTACAATGAGAATTATATTCTTGAATGACTAAATAAACTATCTATATTAGAAGACAATAGTTTCCAAACATTCATCTAGCAATATCTTTTTGAAAATAGGGCTACATGGTCGTGTATAGTTTACCACACAGTAGTGTAGTGTCCTAGTGTAGTCTAATTTGTGTGATGTTCTAGCGTTAAGGTACATGTTTGTGTATTCCTTTTTTTTTTTTTTTTTTTTTTTTGGACAAGAGGTTCTAATAAACAATAAAACACACCAAAGAAAACACAAACAAACTAAAAGGACCAAAAAAGAAACTGTCATTGACGAGCCTTCACAGCCAACCAGTGAGCAGGGGAAACCCATTGACGTGGAACCTTGTAGATCTAACAAGCTGTGAACTTCAAAAGAGCAGAGCTAATGTCCCGAAGTAACCAAACATAGGCAACATCTGCGGAGCGTACATGAGAAACAAGGGAGATAAGAACACCACAGTAAGTGCAGATAAGGAGGCGACGAACACCTCTCCGAAAGGCCATATGAAGACCTCCTAAACAGGCCTGCAATTTTTCTTGAAGAGCAGAGGAAGTCTGACAAGCTTTCGTACACCATCCTAACAATCTATCCGAAGAGGCCTCCCGAAGACACCAACCAATACTAGCACACAGTTGTCCACTGCCAACCAGGCACCATCAAACATAAGACACACATCAAGATCATCAGAAGGATCCCCCCGCAAACAAGCAATCTGTAAAGAAGGGGAAATAAGAGGGATAGGTCTCCTTAGATTGACAGCTCGGGAACGAAAATCTCTGTCAACCCAAGCAGCAGCAAGCTGGAGAACCGAGGCAGGAGAGCAAGTCGCCTGATTAAAAATGATGTGATTACGAGTAAGCCACACAGCCCAAAGCAAGGAGAAAAGAGTAGTTAACCCTTCCCAATTGCTAGAGGCAGTAAACCCTGAAACCAGATTAGCGAACCATATATCGGACGGCTTTGCACTGAGCAAATGTCTATCAAAACCCATAGGACCACAAACCAGCAGGTGAGCAGAGAAGGAGCAATCACAAAACAAATGAGATATTGTCCCATGTTGATTACAGAACACACGCATCGAATTCACAAGCAACCCACGGTCTCGCAAGACTGAACAAAGGGGTAATGCATTATGAAGCAATTTCCACCCCAACATTTTAAACTTAGGAAGAATAGGGAGACCCCAAAAGCGTTTCCACCAATTCGGAGGAACTGAAGCAGAGGCAATTGAAGCAGAGAGTTGCCTAATCAGCAAAGCATACGCCGATTTGGTAGAAAACGCGTCATCTCTAGTAAACTTCCAATAAACAAAGTCATCCATCAGCTCTTGGGGGTCGTTCCATAGTCTGAATACAAAGAGCAGTAGGATCATCAAAGAACCGATGAACTAAAGACGGATCCCACGCATAAGAACGCGAATTAAAATTAGAAGAAACTAGAGTCAGTAAGACCGACTCAGAAATACCTTGTTTGAATCGAACTGGACCCAGGAACCCAAGAGTCCTTAGTAAGCCGAACCTGAACACCATCAAGCTCAGACATCCCCAAGAAGGACGAGGGATCTTGTCCCTACCCAACAAGCGAAGACAGGGATATTTTAAGAACATTAATCTGGAGACCAATAACTGAGGATGTTGAATCAGACGCCAACTCTAGCGAGCTACAATTGCTGAATCAAAACAGCCTAGACTTCGTACACCTAACCCACCTAATCCTTTAGGCAAATGGAGAAGAAAAGCCGAACGCAAAGCTAACCCTCGAGAAGTAGAAGAAGAACGCCACCAAAATCTAGCCAACATTTGATCAATCCAGGCACAAATCGAAGCCGGAATCTTAAACACTGATAAAACATGATTGAAGGAAGCAATCATGACATAGTTAATGATAACCAGCTTCGTTGCAACAAAAAGATGAAGAGATGCAAAATCCAAAAGGCGATTAGAAATCTTATCAATCAGATAAGAGAACTGTGAAACCTTTCCACGACCTAAATCCACAGGTAAACCAAGATAAGAGCTTAGGGAAGGCTTATGCTGGAGCTTCAAACATTGGGCTAGATATTCCTTATAATCCTGAGGCGTATTTGGACTAAACTTATCAAAGGATTTTTGAAGGTTGACAATTTGGCCAGAAAGCTCACAAAATTCCTTGAGAATGTCCATTAAATGGTCACAAGATGGAGGAGAAACCTGGAAGAACAATAAAGATTCATCAGCAAAAAACAGATGAGTAATAGAAGGAGCCCCTCTCGAAATGCGAAGTCCCTGAATAAGAGAATGTTCTTCCGCCCAAACTAGAAGAGCGGACAAAACTTCCATACATAAAACGAACAAATAGGGAGAAAGTGGATCCCCTTGGCGCAAACCACACTGAGGCAAAAACGAAGCAGAAGGAGAACCATTGACCAACACTTGGTAAGACACCGAGGTAACACACTGTCGAATAATGTGAATCCAGTAAGACGGAAACCCAAATTTCTTTAAAACCCGAAATAAGAAGTCCCACCTAACCCGATCGTAGGCCTTATTCATATCCAACTTTAACGCAGCATAGAATCGCTTTCGAGCCTTTGAAGCATTCATAAACGAGAGAAGTTCATGAGTGATTAAACCATTGTCAGACATGAGACGACTAGGAACAAAAGCATTCTGATGATCTGACACCAAGAAGGAAAGTACCAAGCGAAGGCGACCGGTGAGGCACTTCGCTATGCACTTATAGAGAACATTACAAAGACTTATCGTACGATATTGGGAGACAAGCTCAGGATGTTCAACTTTTGGAAGCAATGTCAGAAAAGTACGATTCCACTCCTTCAACATATAGTCGTGGGCAAAAAAATACTGAACAGCCGGAACGATGAAAGGACCAACCTCATCCTAGTGAATCTTGAAAAAAGCCGACGAAAAACCATCCGGACTAGGAGATTTATCATCATCAATACTAAACAGAGCCTTTTGTATCTCCATGGAAGAAAAAGGAACAAGTAAACTTTGTCGCTGGGCATCAGAAAAGGACAATAAGTTTAGTTGTTCCCACTGCCAGGAATCCACATCCAGCGGAGAAGGTGGGGAAGAATACAAATCCTGGTAAAAAGATAAACCCAGAGCTCGAATACTAGCTGGATCAGAATGCCAAAGACCATTCGCATCCTTTAAACTAACAATCAAATTTCGTCTGCGACGGGCCTGTATATAAGAAAAAAGTAGTCTAGAATGATTCTCCCCTAAGGCATCCCATTTAACCTTCGCTCGTTGTGTATTCCTTCTACACGACCGTATGGCACCTCAAAATATCGTGTTATTCGTCCCCTTCTCCAAATGTTCTTCTAGTCAAACCATCTCCTCATACACAACAAAGATTTGGCATAACTTGATCTAATTTAACCAATTCTAAAATAATTAAGTATTTACATTACCCAAAATCCGAAATATTTCAAATGTTTATGAGTTTATCATATATCATTATATCGGATATCCAAAAATCCAAAAATCCAAAATTTCATTTCCAATTCGATATTTGTAATTTTCATATTGGATATTCGAAGCTTCAAATAATTTTGCTCGAGCCTAACATAATGAATTCTCACCTCCAAGTACTTATACTATGGAAGATTCAACCTTGTGACATCCAAGTGGTAACTTGTAAGGTAAACTCCAACCAAATACAATAACGACCTATTTGCACTATTCACATACTCACACTCAACTTTGATTGTTTTTTGTGATTTATACGTAAGAGGAAGTATAAACAGTGATAGTGTGAATGAATTTGTATGTCAATTTGGAGAAAAAAAAAAAGTGAAATTCCCTGTTTCTCATAGTGAGAAACGAAATTTGTTTCTCATGGAGGCATTTTCGTGAATAAATCAACAACGTTTTCATTATTGTGGGCTCCACAATTGAATAAAGTTGTTGGTTTATTTACAAAAATGCCATGTGAGAAACAAATTTTGTTTCACTATGAGAAACTAGGGCTCCCTCAAAAAGGGGGGGGGGAATAATTTTTATTTTCATGATCACTCAAGATGATCCCAAATTGTCTATATTTCTTCATAAATTTCCATTCTCAATCAATAACACCTCCCAAGTGGTAATGGATAGTAATTTTTTACAAAAAATGAAGAAAAGAGATTGTGCTCCCATGGAGATTATATATTGTATTTTATAATAAATTACACCTCTACCCTTTTTGTTTCATAATAACACAACAGTAGAGAGGGCACAAAATTTTAGAAACATTTTAGGGTGTGACCAAATGAAAATTTTTGTCATTTAAAGCATAGTTGGTGGAGATATATTTACGAGTAATTATTATTAGGAGAAAGAAAATTTAAAAAAAAATAGTATAAATGAGGTTAGAAAATTAAAAAAAAAAAAAAAAAAAACAGTATAAATGAGGTTAGTATAAGAGAAATACTCCCTCTGTATTTTATTACTTGCTCCATTTTCTCATAAGCACGTATGCAGATGTAAATCTTTGATAATTAATATCTTTAATTATTAATAAGTATAATTATAACAATAGAAAATTAATAATCTATTCATTGAGACTATTATTTCAACAAGTACCCACAAGTCTATATTCTTTTTCTTATATAAATCACAAACATTAGTCAAAGTAGGTCAAATGAATAGTATAAATGGAGCAGGTAATAAAATAAGGAGAGAGTAATAAATAGTTGTGGCTTGTGGGTACTTGTTACGAAATAAGAAAAATATTGCAATTATTACAAAACTGACGGAAAAAGAAAGTGTTGCAATTATTACAAAATAAAAGGAATATTCCCTTCGTTTTGCAATAATCGCAACAGTAGGATATGCATTTAGTGAGGACTAAAAGAGAATATTTTATAATGAAAAGTATAGTTAGCAAGAGAGAGATACAATTAAAAAAAAATGTAAGTGGGTTTGGTAGCAAACAGAAATAATAATAAAATATTTATAAAAGTGAGGTTAATGATAGAGTAAAATATTAAAATAATAATGGGTTATTATCAAATAAGATAGTGTTGCAATTATTATAAAACGGACATAAAAGTAAAGTGTTGCGTCGTTGCGATTATTACGAAATGGAGGGAGTAATATGTCCCTATTATCGCAATTTATTACTGACTGCATGCTCCCTGTTTCATAACAGATGTCTCAATTTGACTTTTATGTTATTCGCCTACACTACTTTGACTAATGTCTGTATTTCATACTCCTTGCGTTTCTTAATAATCTCAAATACTTTGATTTTTGTATTATTCATATGTTTAATTTGACTATATTTTTTTTGACAACATAAAAATAATAATAATAATAAATAAATAAATAAAAACATATTTGTCATGTAAAATATTTTCAGCGCTTTTTTTGGTGTGGCCAGCCACGACGTGCTGCAAGCTGACACACACCAAAACACTGATCGACTAGCCATTGACCGACTGAGTAACCCCCTGACCTGCCAAGTGATAACCCTGGCTACATCGTGTAGCCAACCACATGGAAATTTATGAAATATTTTTGGATTAGTTTTTATGTATATTTTCATTATATGAACTTTTTATATTTTTTAATAATATATAATTAAAAATTAATGATCATAGTTCTTCATTGACATGTGTGTCAGTTAATATGTTACGATTATTATGAAACGAAAGGAGTACATAAGATTAAGCATATTCACGTAGATTTTTGTTAGAATAGCCTAAATGTCTCGTTTTCAAATATAAACTTTTTATATTTATACTTATCGATAATTTAAAATATTGTTAATCAAACTTACGCGTTAGCAAATACTCCGTATATCGGTTAAAGTAGGACATTTATTTTAAAACAAAATACTCCCTCTAATCAGTGTTTTAATAAATAAGTGTTACTCTATCAAATGCGACTGTATTTTAATAAATGTTACACTTCTATTTTTGGCAAAAAGCTACAGTATATTTTAATATTATATATTTCTCCTTTTATAGTCTCCACCTAAACCCAATTCTACTTGTTTTTTTATTATTTCTTTTATATCACATAAACTATTAACTCTACTATCTTTCTTTTATAATTTTTTATTACTTTAATTACCCTCATTAATCTCTTATATTATTTAAATCAATTAAATTGCCTAAAATTATAAATGGGTTAAAAATTAACACCTATAAAAGCACGGATGAAGTATGAACAGACTGTAAATAAAAAAATAAAAACGAGGTGATAAGTTGATTAGACACTAGTGCCTGCTCTACATGGAAACAAATAATTAAAGAACAAAAAGAAAAGAGAAAAATTACAAAAGCTGCTAAATTTGCAGAATCAAAGACTAGTACTAGTACTAATATATGCATGTATGTCTAATCACATCAACGAGGGGCGCGCAATGCTTGCTAGCATTAAGTTGTGGTCTTGGCTGCTGCTGCACTCTTTGGTCATTTCATATTATCATAGTCTTGCTGTTACTCATTTGGGCGTCTTTATTAGTCTTGCAACTAGCTAATAAAGCTATGAAAAATAGAACTCCTAGTAGTTGAGTTTTCAACGAATTCTACGGATTAACTTTTCAATTTTTAGCCTTTTTTGGTTGATTTTTGGAACGTGCAATGTTACTTACAGCTGGTTTTGGAGCCAACGTACGATGGTAAATTGGTAACATAACTTCTTCGTTGGGTACAAATTGTACAACCAGAAAGATAGAACTCATTCAAGAACTGGTTTTACCATTAGTTATTGAGGGCGGGACTTACAATTTATTTTTTATTCAGAGAAGCTGCAAATTAAAAGTGCAAAGACATTGTTTAACTAGTACCAGTAGATGAGATTTGAGCACAAGTTTTTTTTAATATTACTAGTACTCGGTATTCCTCAAGATTTTAATCAATTAATCTACTTGATCATATACAAAGTGAGACTTTTATTTTGGGTCCAAGACTTCCAACTCAAGTTTATTTCATTATTTTTAAATATCAAAAACAAATACTACGCAGCTTTTGTCAATACAATGCACAATACAATGCACAATTTCATAATAATAAGATTTATTAATAATGATAGTCAATTTAAACAGAGTCAATCGAAATTAAATGATTTATGTAACACCTTTTTTTTTTTAGATTTGAATTTCATTTAAAGTCTACTCTTAAAATTCTTATGTGTTGCATACATATATAAAATTATTAAAGAATTTCATTTTTTTTAATAGAATTTTTTACAAATATAAATAGCATTTTGGAGGCAAAAAAAAATTTCAAAATTAGCAAGTGTCCTATCCGGTGATTACTTTATTATGTGTTATGTATAGATTATAGATTGTTAAAAATTTCCAAAAAAATAATGGAACAAGTAATAAATTACGATGGCAAAAGGAAAGTGGAGCGTAATAAAATATGGAAGGAGTAATTCATAATTCATAAGCAAAGACATTGTTTAACTAGTACGAGTAGATGAGATTTGAGCACAAGTTTTTTTAATATTACTAGTACTCGGTATTCCTCAAGATTTCAATCAATTAATCTACTTGATCATATACAAAGTGAGACTTTGATGCACGGTTTGTTTGTATTTTTTCAAACAAAATATTTTACTAAATTTATATTTATCTGATAAACTTTGTGATATTCGCTTGTTTCCTACTTGAATTTTTTACTATAAATGAATTATTAATTTTGTTTTTCATATTTAGATAAAAAATCCTAATATAAAGAGATAATATTTTATTTCACAAAGTTTCATATATGATTGGTCACGCCGTGTGGTCGGGATTATTTAGTCAGGGTTACTCGGTTGGTCAAGGGTTACTTAATCGATCAGGGGTTACTCGCACGATCAAGGCTACTTGGTCAGTGTTT